CGAGCCACGCCACGCCCTCCGACGTCCACTCCCGGGACGTCCCGAACGGCCGAACCCCGTCCGTCCGACGGGCCCTCGGGCCAGGCCGAGGCCGAGGCGGTGGGCGCGTCGCGGGGGGTGTGGTCGCGCAGGACCCCCGTCTTGCCACCCCTCGCACCGACCACCACCGCCGCCATCGTCTCAATCCCGCATCGCACCGTGCCTCTGCCGCCGTTTGCCCCTTCACTCTCTCGCCCCCTCACACTCCTCGCTTGCCACCATGCCAGGCATCTACGGCGGAGACGAGATCAACGCCATCGTCATCGACCCCGGCTACTCGCACACCCGCGCCGGCTGGGCAGGCGAGGACGCTCCCAGGGCCGTCATCCCAACCGCCTACGCCTACGCTGACATCTCCGAAGAACAGATCGCAGCCCTCGAATCGGATGCACGCTACCTCGATGCACCTTCCTCGTCCGCTGCCAACGGCACAAGGGCGGCAGACGCAGAGGCGAGCAACGTTGATGCCGACGGCGACCAGAGCATGCGCGATGCATCACAACAGCCCGCCTCGGCACAACAGGCAGACGACCCAGCAGCACCACCATCAGCGCCAGCGCAGGGAGGCACGTCAAACTCGACAGCACCACCAGCGACGACGGCATCCGGCAGCCGCTCGGCCTCCCCCTCGGCCCACAACGCCCCCACCACCCAAGACTCCGACTACAGGCTCAAGGCCAACCGCGCCCGCGCAGCCAAAAAGGCCCTTTCGCTCGTCGACCGCGAAAAGAAGCGCAGGCGCTACGTCGGCGACGCAGACCTCAGCCTATGGAGGCCCGGCATGGAAATCGCCCACCCGCTCGATCAGGACGGCATCCTCGCAGAGGCGCCCGCCTTCCAGTCGCTCTGCACCCACAGCCTCGACGTCCTCTCCTGCGACCCGAGGCACCACCCGCTCCTCATGACCGAACCCGCGTGGAACTCGCGCGAGGCCAGGGAAAAGGTCACCGAAATCGCCTTTGAGACGCTCCAGGTGCCCGCATTCTACCTGGCCAACCGGACCGTGCTCAGCTCGTGAGTCGCGGCGCCGTTACCTCTCGCCGTTGCCGTCGATGTCGGTGGCGATGTCGGTGGCGATGTCGGTGGCGATGTCGGTGGCGATGTCGGTGGCGATGTCGAGGTCGACCTATTCTCGAGCCACATCTGACCTTTCTGCGTGTGCCTCTCTTGTCCTTTCACCGACCGCGCCCCGGCAGGTTCGCGGCGGGCAAGCCGACGTCGCTGCTCGTCGACATTGGCGCCAACACCATCTCGGCCATCCCCGTCGTCGACGGCTTCATCCTGCGCAAGGGCATCCAGCGCCAGGACAATGGCGGCGACTCGGTGTCGCGCGCCCTCCTCTACAGCCTCACCCACGAGCGGCGCACGCCCTCGGCCGACTTCCTAGGCTTGACGCCGCAGTTCCTCGTCAAGTCCAGGGCGGCCGTCGATCCGGCCGCCGATCCGCAGGTCAAGCTGCGCGACGACCGCGTCAAGGCCACGACGGCCTCGTACCTCTCCTACCAGCTCGACCGGCTGCTGGGCGACTTCAAGGCCTCGACGGCCCAGGCGCTCGAGGTGCCGTGGGACGAGGCCCAGGCGCGGCTGCGCCCCACCAAGCCGTTTGAGTTCCCCTCGGGCTACAATGACTTTTTCGGCATGGAGCGCTACCGCGCCGCCGAGACCATCTTTACGCCCTCGCAGTGGACGGGCAGCGTGTTCACGTCGAGCGTCGCCGGCGGCGCCGTCCGCGAGGGCACGGGCGTGCTGAGCCAGGGCAAGAGCTACGAGGGCCTCACCCAGATGGTCCTCAACGCCATCAACGCCAGCGACGTCGACAGCCGGCCGGGCCTCTTTGGCAACATTGTCTGCGTCGGCGGCGGCTCCTTCCTGCCCGGCCTGACGGACCGGCTCAACTACGAGCTGGGCATCGCCGCGCCCAGCGTGAGTGCGACGTGGTGGCAAAGGGCGGTGTCGACTTTGCGATCCCGAGTTGTAACTGACGAGCGTCTTCTTGTGTGTCCCTGTGTACCTTTGGTGGTGCGGCCGAATCATCTGCGGCCGGGATGGGGGGGGGGGGGGAAACAACAGCAAAAGGTCAAGATCCACGCGCCGGGCAATGCGACGGAGCGGCGGCACTCGTCGTGGCTGGGCGGCAGCATCCTGGCGTCGCTGGGCACGTTTCACCAGCTCTGGATTTCGAAGCAGGAGTACGACGAGCACGGTCCCGCCGTCGTCCATGCCCGGTGCAAGTAGTAGTTGGGGGCCCGTCGGTCCGTCGGTCGGTCGGTCGGTCGGTCGGTCGGTCGACTCGCCTGGGGCTGCGCGCCCGCGATTCCTTGGCATCCGATCCGGTCGCCAACCGGCATGTACCGCTACTCGTCCCCTGTCGAATCCATCTATCCATCCATGCATCCATCCATCCATCTCTCTCCCTTGCTGGATCGTCTGTCCTTGTCGTCCCCGAGGTGCGCTGGGAAGCGAGCATGGCAAAGTCCGCCTGTCTTGGTCGTCTACTCGGCTCGCGACGGGTCGAAGCAGTGTCAGGACTCACCTCACCTCACCTCACCTCACCTCACCTCGATACCGGCACCTCGATACTGGCACCTCGATACTGGCACCTCGACGACGAAGAGGTCAGATCGACCCGTGTGCCGCAGAAGCGGGCTAACTCAAAAACACCCCCCTCTCAAGGGGATGATGGCCCATTACATGTCTACTCGAAACTATTCACGACGAGAATTTAACCCATGACGAGAGACCCTATCAACATTCAAAACGGGGCGAGGTGCGTGCGGCAGGGGGGGGAGGCGGGACTATGGTTTGAGCGGCAGATCCGCCAGGCAGGGCGCATTAAACAGGCGGCCACTCCAGGCGCCGCGCAGCGTGGGGATGGCGACGGTGGTCCAGAGGGCGAGGTTGGCGAGTACGAGGGCGGTGTAGACGCACTTGAGGGCGAGGCTATCGAGCACGATGGCCAGGCGGGCGCAGCAGATGGCCAGACTGGCAAAGGGAAACGTGAGGCCCCACCAGCCCATGTTGAAGTAGAGGCGTCCCCGTGCCAGCTCGCGCGCAATGGTGGCGAGAGCCAGGAGCAACCACCAGCACCCCAGGCCGAAGAGCATCAACGCGCTCACCAACCCCACGCCGTACAGGGCCGACCCGACGTCGAACAGCTGCGGAACCCCCGTTGAAGGCGCCGTCGAGATGCGAGGCAAGAGCCGCTGCGCTACCTGACCGAGGTGCAGCAACGCCTCCCCGCCCTGCCCGCACGGTCCGAGCGGCAGAAAGACCGAGATGATGACGTCGCGGGGCGGCGAGTTGAAGAGGAGCAGGCGCTGGAAGTAGAGGACGAGGATGAGGAGCGCCACGGGCAGGCCGATGCCGAGCACCAGGTAGCTGACAACCACGAGGACCATGGCGTAGGCCGGGTAGCGCTCCATGAGGATCTCGGCGAGCACCGAGCCCGTCGCGGCGGCCGTAATGGGCGGCACGATGGGGAGGAGGAGCGCGGCCGTGGTGCCCGAGAACTGGTGCTTCTGGTAGGTCATCATCGAGAAGGGCACGCCGACGGCCGTGAGCAGGCTGAGGGCGGTGGCGAGCCACCAGAGGCCCGAGGCGGCGAGGGCAAAGCCGTGGCCCAGCCCGAACTCGACGGTGCCCATCTGGGCGATGCCGCTGATGATGACAATGAGGCCCATGGGCAGCGTGCCGAGGAACATGGACTTTTGCGGATGCTTGATGGTGAGCGGCAGCACCTCGGGATACATGATGTAGCGCGCGACAAAGGCGCTCAGGAAGAGGATGAAGCTGGGCAGTGATGGGGGGGCAGGGGACCGGCTGGACCGTCAGCATCGTCGCGAGGCAGGCGCCAAGGTGTGGGGAGGCTGGGCCTGCGACGACTCACATGACAATGTCGGCAAAGAGAAAGACGAGGGCCGGGTAGCGCAGGCCCGAGTGGATGGATGGCCAGGGGAGTAGGTTGAGTAGGGTGGCGATGACGCCGGTGCCCATGGTGACGCTGAACCAGGACGGGGTAAAGTGGAGGACGCGCTCCTTGACGCCGTGGCGCTTGGCTGGTTTTGGGGGCGGGAGGAGGGCGGGGTTGGACGACGACGACGGCGATGGGGGCGACGACGAGGAAGGGGGAGGGTGGTGGGCCTTTTCCGAGTCGGGGATGCGTGCGAGGCGCTCTGCCTCTTGCCTGGCTGAGCGCGGTGCGGCACCGTTGCGCGGCGCGTTTGCAGCGGAGGCGGCGGCGGCGGCGTGGGGCTGCGGGTGTGGCGAGGCAGGTTTGGCGTGTCGACGAGGGCGTGGCCTGCCGAGCAGTGTGCCGTAGACCTTGTACCGTTTGCTGCTGCGATGGTGGTGGTGATGGTTGGGGATGGACTCGCCGGCGAGGACGCGCTGGAGCGCCTGCCCGTATGGCTCGTCGCGGCCGGGATGGTCTGCGGTTGTGTCGCCGTCGATCTGTGATGGCGGTGAGCGCGACGGTGAGGTGTGGGTTGAGTGAGCGGTGTCGATGTCCTTTCGCAGTTGCTGGGCGGCCTCGAGGCCCGGCGAGTCGTCGTAGAGAGCGTGCGGGTGTGCCATGTTGGCCGTGGCTTGCGCAGTGCGCGGCGGCGGCGGCGGCGGAGGTGGTGGTGGTGGTGGTGGTGGTGGTGGTGGTAAAGAGGAGGAGCGGTCGCGGTCTGCGCTCGACCCGCCAAAGGTTCGAGGCATGTGGAGGCGCAGATTGAAGCAGCGCGCCGTCGGCCGTCGGCCGCACCGTCAGCCGCCGCCGACAAAGACGCCGACGTTGGGGCCGACGCAGCCCGGCGCCATCGCATCCATGCCGGTGAGGCGGTGCGATGAGGGCGCGCCGGCCAAGACGGCAGCCGAGGCACCCTCGACATCGCCTTTGGCCCTGCCTTGGCCTTCGCCCCGACGACGACGACGACAAACGACAAACGACAAACGACGTACGGCCGACCCCCCGCGCCGACCAGTATCTCGTATAACTTACCGTTATAATAGTATGCGTACTAGAAGTTATTACGACGACCCGCCGTCCTCACTGACCGAACCCGACCGTGGAAGTACCNC